TCGGCCCCAGGCTGATTCCCCTTTTCCTCCTCAGTCAGTTCATTACCAGTCCAGTGAATCCCTGAGGGACACACGATAGAGAGAGGATGGGATCCGGAGTCCAGAGAGCAGTGCCCCATCCCAGCTGCATCCTTCACAGCGGTGACAACCCAGAAGTGCAGCTTAACCCCGAGCTCTGTGTTGGGTGGTTGGCATGGAGATGAGTACCACTCGCTCATCAGCTGGACTGTGGGGGCTCAGTGGGAGGTCCCCGCAAGGGCTTGGGAACTCGTCAACCATCCTCCACATGTTGCGGGTGGTTTTTAAGGCTGAGCCTGAAGCCCCAACCAAGCCCCCCCGGCTTGGCTCTGCCCTGCTATCACTCGATAAAGCTTTTTCTGGGACATGAAGAGGCCACTTGGCAGTCAGCGTGAAGTGCACAGAGACAAGAGTGCTCAGCTTTGACTGCTCTTCTCTTTTCGGTGATCAAAGGCAGGGCCCTCCCTGCAGATTTTAAACCTCTGGAACAGTTCCACTCATCCCAGCTAGAGAGCCCGTCAGAGGGCCAGGACGTGCCAACGCTTGGCCAGGAGTGGGTTCCTCCCGCCCGTTTAGCCTGTAGCCTCGTCCAGAAGACCCACTGTTTTAGGGTACACTGGTGTTGTTGCAAGCAGCAGCTGGAATTTAAGTACACTCTGCTGAAGTCAGCGAGCACCGGCTGATCCCACTTTTCCTTTAAGAAAGTTCGTTTATGGCCGCAAGAGGTAGCATAATGCTGTGGTGAAGAAAACAGGCTCTGGGGCCCTTGCCAGGGTCCAAACACCTCTCCTTTCAATCTCTAAGCCCCAGTTTACTTATCTGTAAAATGGTATCAATGCCTCATAGGATCGGGGTGGGTAGATTAAATACAACAGTGTGTGGAAAACTGACGTTCGCTGCTAGTGCGTGTATGTGTATGTACGTGTGCACGCCGGCAAGAAAATATTCGTTTGTTCGCTCGTTTGTTCATTCAACCACCACCACCTACGTGCTGGCACCGTGCTGTGCAGTGGAAACAAAAAGATGCATGAAGGCTTTGTCCTCGGAGAACCCACAAGGTCTGGGCCGAGGCAGACAAGCTGAGAAGCCACCAGGTGGCGGGGTAACAGGTGCTTTGCAGGGGCTGTGTAGATGCCAGGGGAATGCAGCTAATCCAACACTGGGCACAGGGGGGCTGCAGGGAGGGACTCCTTGGAAGGGGGGACCGAGTCTAACGCAGAAGTGAACCCAGAGAGGAAGGGTGTCCCAGGCCGACAACGGAACAAAAAGGAGAGTGCCTGGTGGGTTGAAGGAACCAAACAGAGCATGATGAGGAGGGTGCACAGAGTATGGCTACTGGACCACCCTGGGCCCCAACCATCAAAGCCCATCTAGGGCAGGTGACAGCAGAGACAATCTCCAAATAAAGCACAAACTACGGACGTGAGATTTAACATACTAGCTGGTGATAATACTGTGCATTTGTTTATAACAGTCCCCCGAATTCCCTCCTTCCTCCGGGCCTAGACTTTTACAAACTGTTCTGCAAACCCTGAGCGTCTAGGTTCCGGAGGCCACATGGGTGCTGTCCTCCCCCGCACAGCGATGGCACGGAGAGGAGGAGAAGACATAGTGCTAGACACAGAGGAGAGATGAGAGGGGGCGGGGTGTGTCCTGAGAGATGAATCAGCAAAATGCTTTGAAGAATAAGGTTGGCAAAGAGGGGCTTTAGAGCCAGGGCATAAAGAAAAAGCTATCTGGTGGCACAGCTAAGATGCACAAATGTGTCTTGGGTTTGCAGACTCCCACCCGGGAAGATACTGGAGTTTAACAAACCCAAGCATTTGTTTGCCGGCTGCCTGCTTTGTTAAACAGTTATGTGTCAGTCCCTACAAGATGGGTACTTCTGGGCCGTGTAAGAAGTAACGGCTTCTCTACACTTATAGAACACCACTCTGGGCTTTCTGTCTCTCTTCTTCTTCTAAGAGTTGCAAACCCAGTGATGGCCAACTTTGTTGGAAGGAGACCTTCAAACCCAGTGGCCCAGTGGGAAGGTGCTTGGGAAGTGCTTGGGAACTCGTTTTTGGGGACAGTGCCCTGAAAAGTAAGCCTGAAGTCCTAGATCACCAGAGCTTGGTTTCCTCATCTGTAAACAGGAATAAGTAATAATGTTAACCAGACAGCATATGTGAAAGCCAAGGGGAACTAAGCAACACGGCCAAGGCTGCAAGATTAGGAACCGCCCCACTGCTCTCCCAGGAGGGGGGCAGACTGTCTCGGTGCCGGGAGGTGCAGGGAGGAGGATGGAACAGCTGCTCAGCACACGACACCAGCTCTTCTCAGGGCCCTCCCCCATCTGTGGAGCATGGCAGGGGACACGGACTGATGGCCAAAGAAGAAACCCGTTTGCAAACTCAAATGAAACAGATGAGAAATTGCAACATATATATTTTTAGAGCAATGTTAATTCCTCCACACACAACACTGCTCAGCTTATCTGTACCCATAAATGTACAGCGCTCTGCCTTGAACCCACGGGGGCCTTCAAGGCTGCAAACCGGAGAAAGAGTTCGGGAGCACCGGGTGACACTGCATGGTGCTTTTGGTGGAAATGTCCATGTGGCAAAAACATGGTCTCATGTGGAAAAATGAAGGATGTAAACCACCATGCCCCGCCCCCCAATCCATGTGCTGGGGCACGTAAAATGTGTTTATTAGCATAATAGCTCACGTCACTGGATTCCGGCTCCTGGGGATTCTTCTAGACACATTGCCTTCCTTTCCTGCTGGGACATTCTTTAGGTCCATTAATAGACCTACTGCCTCTGGGAATTGTTAATTCTAATTAAAAATCATTAATTATTAGAAGTGGAGCCCACGTATGTACACAGGCCAAAACTCACGGTCGTTACGGCCTATAGCGAGTCTCAGACCAGTCTACCCAAATGTGCACCAGGTCAGCCGCGGTACATCCAACACTCACTCTGCCATTGCTCCAGTTCTGCCTGTTGGAGGCCCCCCGCCCCCCATGGCTACAGCACTAGCTCCAGATACAAGCTGCCTGGGTTACCACTGAGTCCCTAGAGTCTAGCAGGATCTCAGTACATGCTGAACAAAGAAGTTAACAAGCAACTGAATCCTCACCCAAGAATTCTGAAGATGTGACATCCCTCAGCCTCTGACCCAAGACGTGGGCTCCCCCCCACCGCCGCCTGCCTCCAATACGTCCATAACCTCCCTTCCACATTGGGCTGCCTTTGCCGGCTTGCTGGTCTGTCCCTACACTGGATGGTGAGTACTTTGATGGCACGATTACATCTTTTCATCTTCGCATCCTCAGAAATGAAAGATAAGAGATTACTAGTGCAGCTCTTGCAATCACCCTGGGACAAAGAAAGACCCAGAAAGACTGCCCCTGCTCTGGTCCAGGGCGTCCCCCGCAAGGCCCACTTGGGCCAGCCCCATTTACTCCTGCAGATCTGGTTATTGGGACCCCCTGTGCGGCTGCCTATGCTTTAGGACAGCAGTAAGCATGGCCCTCTGCCTGGCTCTTTGGGTGTGTGTGGGGCGGGAGGGGGCTCTTCTATTAAGCGCAGACTCCTGGGGGTCCAAGCCAAGGCAACCCCCATGGACACAGCGTGGGTGGCCGCCTTCTACCCGTGCATTCTGGAACTTAGACGATTCTGAAGACCTTCCACGGACAGTTCCAGATTTCTACCTTGGTAGAAGCGATCGCGGAACAGGGGTTCAGACATAACCTTAGATTATTAATTAGTCTCTTCTGGGAATTCACACAAGTTCTTCCAATCCCTCCCTGACGAACAGGCACTATCAGCAGAGAGTCTTCTGCGGGCCGTGCTTTAATTCTCACGGCCCCACTGTGACTTCGGAATGCTATCACAACTGCCCGCTTGTGGAAATGAAGCGTGCAGAAAGTAATGATCCCAGTTCTAGTGAAGAGCGGAGTGGGGACCGCAGCAGAGAGGCTGTGCTGAGCTCCTCTGGAGGAAGTGTTCCTCGTCATACAAAAGCTCGGTGAAGAGACCTTCACCCAGTTTCTCAGCTGGCCCGTGGCAGCCTGGCACCACTCACAGGTGCACCCAGATCCTGCCAACAGGTGACCATCCACCTTCCTCCCGCCCCAGCCTCACCGAGGAGGAGGGCCCCAGCCTTGCCACTGCCCACTTCAAAAACCCAGCAGGTTCTTTGGGGGACCCACGGGAGGGGTCCTGGGACTTCAGGAGCGTGGCACAGACCTTGCGGTGGGGAGGGGGCTGGGACAGACACCCAGTGGCCCGAGGCCGCACTAGCACTGTTTGCCTTGAAGACGCTTTGCCAAATGTGGAAACAACCCCGGGGGCCGGGGTGGGGGACATGCTTCTCATTCTCATTCCGGATCGCTCCATTTTGTCAGAAAAGATGCGTTCGGTTTCTTTTAAAAACCGAGAGCTTGGCCACCTTCTCAAGGGTGACTTTGTTATTAAGACAGAGTTCACACTTCCTTCCAGAGAAACACGTCTCACACGGAGGGGATGGAAGGACAGAGCGATTCAAAGGAAATGCGCTTTTGGATGTGGCTTTTGAAGAATGCCCAAATCAGGCAAAGGAAGCCCTGCTTCTCAAGTCCTTTCCTGCTACAACGCACTTGTACGTGGTGGTCAGAAAGAGTCCAAGGGCTCCACGAGATGTCTAGAACCTTCCTTCTACAGACATGTCTACTTATTATGCATCAGGAGCTTTGGTAAGCACCGGGGTCTCTGCTGGGGAGATTGGTCTGCTGCCCCTTCGCTGAGTGGTAGCTACTCTGCTTTTATTTTGAGCATCAGGTCATTTCCTTCTCAGGGCTAACGTTAAGCATCGGGCCAGAGAAGGCAAACCATGCAAAACAAGTGTGGTTGTACCTCAAGCCCCCAGCACCCAGTCCTGAGTGTCCTCCATTCCCCCACCGGCCTAGACGAGCCCTCCTCCATTGCTCTGGCCACCCACATTCGAGGTGCCTTTACCTTTCAACTGCTGGAAGCAGGAGGCGCTGCTGTCCGGCTCCAGGGGGTGCCTCAGGACCCCATTGCTGGGCTTGGGTCTCTCATATTCTCTTTCGGGGAGCATGGCCTGCTCGCTCTCCATGGCAGGGTCTGAGTGTGGGGGCAGAGACTGTGGAAACCCGAACATCAAGAGGGAAGAGAAGAAGAGTAAGGCACCGCAGAGCAGAAAGCCGCCCCACCAGGCTCCAATCCAGCGGGGGTCGTCCGGAGTGATGTCCAGGTTACCTGCAATGGGAAAGAGCACAGTCAGGAGGAGAGGACACAGCCGGGCCGGGATATGGCTGAGGGTCTGAGTCAGGTGCACAGACAGGAGAGGGCTCTGGACACAGCCTCGGGGTGGGAGAGAGGCAGGGGAGGGAGCAGGGGGCCTGGACGCTTCAAAAGGCAGCCTTTTGTTCACATCAGTGCTCCTGTTTCTCCCACCCCTCAAAAAGCAGCTACTCGGAGATCCCATTCAACACCCCACTCCCGGTCTCAAATCAGGTTCACAGATCGTAAGGGACGGCATAGAATGAAGTCAAGAGCTGAGATACCTGGAGTGAAATCCTGCCACTTCTCACTGCGGGACCCCAGCCTAGTGATCTGAACTCTCCGTGCCTCGCTGACTAACCTGTAGGACCATGAGGACGGTGACAGCACCTTCTGGAGTTTGGAGGGAGGATCCAATGAGCCACACCAGATATGATGTGCTCAGAATAGTCCCTGGCATATGCTTGAGCATTTAAACACTGTTAGCTTCATACTTACGGCTAGGATCTTGTTTCCAAACTGCTAGTGGGTAGGTTAATTCAAATCTTGGTGGTGGCCTGTGGTTTGGGGCAGTCCTTTATTAGAAAGCTTTGCAGCCAACTTAATGCTTAAAGGCAGCGTGCATGTGGTTTGGCTGTCTTGTGCTATTATTTCTTTGATTTACCAGCTGAAGTCATGAAGACAAACTACAGCCTACCGCCTGGTAGATTTTTTTTTTTTTTTTTTGTCTTTCTCTACAACTACCCTTCATAGAGCACTCTCAGATAAGCTGCTTAGAAATGTCTCCTTGACTCTGAAAAACAAACTGAGGGTTCTAGAGGGGAGGGGGGTGGGAGGTTGGGTATTAAGGAGGGCACATTCTGCATGGAGCACTGGATGTTATGCACAAACAATGAATCATGGAACACTTCATCTAAAACTAATGATGTAATGTATGGGGATTAACATAACAATAAAACATTTTTTTAAAAAAAGAAATGTCTCCTTGATGATAGTCCCATACCTCTGGACCACAGAAGGACATTCTTGGACATGGGGGCAGGGCATATGAGCTTAGAACTAACAGGACTACAGCCTTGGACCAGATGGATGGACAGGCTTGGGAAGAGAAATGACCACAGACACCAAACCAGCACTTCACCATTTGTAAAATGTTCTCCCTGAAGACTCTTCAGCTACCACTAATAAAGAGCCCAGCCATCATTCACTGAGTGCTTACTCTGCACTGGGCATTATGCAGAGTATATTCTTTTTTTTTTATTTTTTATTGTTACGTTAATCACCATACATTACATCATTAGTTTTTGATGTTGTGTTCCATGATTCATTGTTTGTATGCAGAGTATATTCTTAACTGTTCTGGTCAACCCTCCCCACAATCCTACAAGGTAGAGTCTTTTATTATCCCAATCTTATATAGATAGAAAAATCGAGGCTTAGGAAATATAGGTACTGGGGCGCCTGGGTGGCTCAGTCGGTTGGGCATCTGCCTTCGGCTCAGGTCATGATCCCAGGGTCCTGGGATCGAGTCCCGTGTTGGGCTCCTTGCTCAGCAGGGAGCCTGCTTCTCCCTCTGCCTTGGCCGCTCCCCCTGCTCATGCTCTCTCTCTCCCTCAAATAAATAAATACAATCTTAAAAAAAAAAAAAAGAAAGAAAGAAAGTGTAGATACCCTGCCCAAATTCACAGAGTTGAAGACTGGAAGACGGGCATTCAGATGCCAAGGGCCAGGTTCCTTATCACTTTGCTACACTGCCCTTCTGGACCGTCTAGGCTTTGTTCTGGGCTCCCTGAGTGGATGATTAACTCCTGTGCTTTGTGCAATGGGCCTAAGATCACCAACTTTGCCGTTGGTCTTTGGAACATCGGTGGTCTCTCTCCTGGAGGCATTGATATCCACCCAACAGCAGTATCTAGGGCACTACCATGAGCCAGATGCTTCTGCACAGCTGCACGTCAGAGAAGAAAGAGTATAAGCTTTGGCAGGCAGAGGGTTGAATCCCAGCTCTGCTGCTTAGTAGCATGTGGTGCTGGGCAAGCTACTTACCCTCTCTGAGCCTTACTTTGATCACTTGCAAAATAAAGGCGACATCCACCAAGACTGCGTGCAAGGATAAGAGGTAACGAGCAAGGATCACTTGACACATAGGCTCTTTGTACATGGTAGCTCTTCTATCTACTTGTAGGTATATATTTACATGAATGCAGATTTCAAGATATAGGGGTTTTTGAGTATGGGAAAGCTTGAAAAAAGCATGAGAAAACCCAAGGTGATCTTGAAAGCATCTTTATGCAAACATGAGAAGAGAAAAGGAAGTCAGATGGCCTCGGGTAGCTGAGCAGGAATGTTTTCTCCAGTTACTGACTGTTTCTTCACCTGCTGCCAAGCAATGAATGAAAACAAAAGACATAAACGGGAGCTGTGGTATCTCCCTCCATTGTCGATGGGCTCCATAAAGGGGGAATTGAAAGCTGGCAGATGTGAGCCAGTAGAAGAGAGAGAGAAATCCTGGCAGTTGTTTGGGGAAACAAAATTAGTAGCACGTAGAGAGTCATATTTTAGTTAGGAAGTTAGTGACTCTCTTCTACATGTGAGGAAACATCCCAGGGAGAGGGGTTGCAGTGGGGAGGCGGATGTTTATGTGAACGTGTCAACTCGCTCCCCGTAGGCATGTGCCTGCGTGTGGAAAGCCAACGTTGGCTCATAATTTGTAAGACAGGGAAGAGCACATGACCTGTGTCAGACCAAAGCCTGCCTGTGGTGCAGGCAAGGAGAGGAAGAGGGATCTGCAGCAAGGTGTGGTGGGGGCTGGGGGGGGGGGGCAGGATTTTATAGGAAAGTCACAGTTGACCATTTTGGAAGTATTGATTTTTTCCCCCCCTCTCCATTGCAACCATCCAGAGCACTGTGGCAGGGAGAGAAATAATGCTCTGAGGAGAAACCACTCAGCTTTGGAGCATGCCGCCCTCAGGTCAGGGTTGGCTTGGGGGTGGAGTTTTAGTCCTGATTTTGGCACTTCTCAGGAAGATGGCTAATTCTTGAACCCAGGCTGAGAAGTTTTCTTTTCTAAGGCACCTCCGCAGAAGTGATGGTGAAAATCCCTCCCCACCTGCCTGGCAATCGTCACTGTCAGCAGGTATGTTCTAGTTCTACTGATGTTGAGGGAAAGTTCTCTATGTCGGCCAGCAAAGAACGGTGCGGTTGAGGTTACTGATGTCTTCATTTGGATCTCCTCTTTGGAGAACAAGGATTACCCCTCCCTCACCATGAACTTAGGTATAGCCACACGCCACAGAACTTTGCCACTGAAGTGTGAGTGGTCGGATATGTGTCACGCCCTTTTGCCCCAGCTGATCATGGAAGCATGTGAAATGCTCCTAAGATGGTCCCTGAGAGACTACGATGAACAAAATGTCACTGCTGACCTGTGCTGTGTGTATAAGCAAGGAACAAATCTTTAGTTGTTATTCTCAGCGACTGAGATTTTGGAGGTGTTTGTTACTGCAGCAGAACTGAGCCTACCTTGACTACTACCAAAGGCTTCGGAAATAAAAAGTCATGCTCTTCAAGAACAGTGATCCTGGGCAGGCTTGGAATCATGAAAGTGTTGTTTCAGGTACAGGTGGGGAACGGGGTGAAAACCTCGTTACTTTTCTTTCGACGTGGCTCTAGGTAGTATCTTGATCTTAAAAAATTACTGCAGTTTCGGGCGCCTGGGTGGCTCCCGAAACTGGCTTAACCAGTTGGTTAAGCAACTGCCTTCGGCTTAGGTCATGATCCTGGAGTCCCAGGATCGAGTCCGCATCGGGCTCCCTGCTCGGCAGGGAGTCTGCTTCTCCCTCTGACCCTCCTCCCTCTCATGCTCTCTGTCTCTCATTCTCTCTCTCGCAAATAAATAAAATCTTAAAAAAAAAAAAAATTACTGCAGTTTCAGCTTTTTCGTGAAGACTGTGGTCAGTAAGATGCCCAGAACAAAACTGAGAAGTACCCGCATGTCTCATTTACTTAGATGTACTTAACTATCAATCAAACTGCAACCACGAAGGACAAAAACACATTGAAAAGAACAGGGTAGGGACAGGATCCCAGGCTGAGGGAGCAACGCTCACAAAGGCATGGAACCCCTCAGTTAGGGGACTCCGATGGGCTGGCTAACACCAACCAGGCACTCATTGGCCCCGTCATTCCAGGTTGGAAGAAGTAGAGCAAAGCATCACCATGATGGAGATGTCTGTACACCATAAGACAGGCACAGTCCGGCCTGCCTTTGCAGAACTGTCTGTATAGGCTTGAAGGATTTCTGCTTTACAAGATCCATTTTTCTAACCCTGCCATGTCTCGGAATCCAACATTCGGAGTGTTTTTGTGGTTTTATTGGGTAAGCCGAGCAAGCTTTTGGCAGTGTTTGCTTCTTCTGTTTAAGGTCATGTAAACACAGGGGATTGAGATTTTTCTCCCATTTCTGAGGCCTGCCACCATCGTAGGTAAGAAAGAAAAAAATCATTGGGAACAGTCAAACCAGTTTAAAACTAACCGAACAACCAACCCACCCATGAGGATATCCAGGACTGTGAGAAGGGGCCAATCAAAGCAAATTGGGGATATTTACTTGTGACTCCCAGGCCACACTAATGTGTAAGTGGTACCGTGGGCTGTTTTTTTTTTTTTTCAGTCCATTTACCTATTTGTCGAACCTATTTTGTGAAACTTTTGCTATGGGACTCAAGCATTCCAAGAGTATCATTAAGTTACAGACCAAATTAGAAACTGGAGACAGGGAGGGGCTAAGGGTAGACGGCAGCATGGAATGTTCAGGATCCTGGCTGTGGAGCTAATTTAGTCTAACATGAAGGACTCTGACGAAGCCCGCAGCTAGCCCCAGAGCAGGAAGCTCTTGGCAGGCTGACCTTTTTTAAGGAAGCAAACATATGGACCCATCTTATTCCAGGGGCAAACACCACGCAGCCCTAGTGGGGTCAGCTGGTGCATGCCTGAGGATGAGTCTGTACGGCTGGGCTGACGAGGTTAGGTCATCTCAGCAAGGCCTTTGTCCACGGAAGGGGGCAGCCTTCTGGCAAAAGTCCTGGAGAAATTCCAGGGACACAAGCTGCCCGGTTTGGAGTCAGACGGAGGCTTGGGCTTTGAATCCTACTCGCTGTGGAAAGGAGTGAACCTGTCGCTGACCATGTGCTTACTATACACCAGGCGCCGTGCTACGCTCTTGGCATGATTAACTCATGTCATCCACGCACAGACCCTTGTGGAGAAAGGCCCCCAGGATCACAAAGCTTGGAAGGGGTACTGATTCCAGCACCGGAACTCTGAACTCGTAATCACTGCATGAGAACAGCTCAGCTGGTAAGTGGGAGGACAGAAGGACCCAACCTCTAAGGGGAATGTCCTGAAGTTCAGATGAGACCATCTACATACAGCTTTAATAAGCGATCAGTCATCAATCTTCTTCTGATAACCCACTGCTAAGGTCGGTCGATTCAGTGCTTTGGGGCACATTCCTGCTACCAAGTCCTCCTTTCTTCTAGGTTCTGTTCTCAACTGGTTTCAGTCTTACAAAGATGTTCTCCGAAAGCGCTTCTGGCTGCACCATCACTCCTTCCCCAGGCTGTTACAAGAGGCATCTCCCCTTAAGAACAGGGGCCACGGGAGCCCCACAGGGATCAAACACAGATGGAGAGTAGCCGCGGCAGAATTCCAGTGTCTAAACAAGGCCAGCAGAGTCCTTCTGGGGAGCTGCCCGCGGGGTCTGCCCACCCACAGCTGGTCTGTTCCTACAACCGACTGCCTTCCCCCCCCACATACAGACTGCAACCAGCCTTCCTCACTGGTCTCCCCCCTTTAATCCTGTGTCCTCATCTGTGGCCAGGCTGCACAGTGCAGGGCACATTCCCTCGTCCATCTGCCCTAAGACAAGGGCTCTGCCTTGCCCGCCTCACCTCAGGTTCCAGATCACGGCTCTCCCCAGCCCCTACCCAGCTCTCCGCTGTGTGCCTGGCCCTTTCCATTCAGGCTTCAGGACATGCTTTCCTAGGTCGGACAGCCCTAAGGAGGACCTCTATCTTCACCGGTGAAGAAAAAATACAGGAGGGTCACCCCTAAAGAATTGAGAACCCCCTTCTCAAAATACAGCCTGAATCCATTCCAGACAGAACAAGTTTTAGTCACAAGATGAGAAATCATTAAAATTGCTGGCAACTATTGAATTCTCTGTCTTGCTCTCCGATAGAATAAATTACATTCTTCTGCCCTCTACTGGTAAAGAACAGCACCAGCCCTCCCTGGGCCTTCAGCAAGGAAGCAAACAAAAGATGGTGACTCACAGAGCATCCTTCCCTTTCTTAGAGACACACTGGATGGGACTTCGGCTATTTGCTTGTGTGCGTGTGTGTGTGGTGGGGGGGATGCCATAAGCAAGATGCCCAGCTGGACCAGGAACGCGCCCATCTGCCTTCTGCTTCGAAACTGCCAGTGAGCCTAGAACCATGGGTGATGTTGCTTCACACGGCGCCCCGACGGGTGAAGAAAGATGCAGACCAGACAGGACCACAGGCAGGACTCCAGGCTGAGGGAACAGCCCGATGCAAAGGAACAGCACATCAATGGGGACCACGAATGAACTGGCTAAGCCCCTCGAGCCCCTTGTCCACCAGGCACAGAGAAAAGATGCTATTTAGTTCCCAGGAGGTTGCATGGTGGAGGGGGCTGTGAAGTGGAAATGCCCACATGCTTGCTAGGAGACCTGGGTTTTATAGAGATACGCCCCTTGGACTGGGTACATCCCTGTCCCTCTCTAGGCCCCGTTTCCTCGTCTGTACTATGGAAGGGTTGGAAGAGAATGAGCTGAGGTTCTTGGCTCAGAGATTCTGGTAACCCACAGGCCTTGATCCAAGGGAGCCACTGCTGATGACGCTGAGGGGCAGGATAAACTGCCTGGCCACCTGGCCTCTCCTTCCAGGAAGCCCTCCCCATTGCACGGGGGGTGCACCCCTTTCCCTCACCCGCTTTTACGATTCCTGTCTTGTGCTGCCTTTGGTACAGTGGTGGAAGCTGGCTTGTTTTTGTCCATATGAGCAAGATGGCAGCCGACTCCCACCACGTGATGTTTCTCTGACCAGGCCACCCCTCGTCCCACTCATTAGGAGCAGGGTACAAAGGGTCACCAACTGCCACAAGACAGCAGCATCCAATCACCTCCTGAACAGAGCCAGCACTTTAAAAGAATAAGTAAACAAAGCTTCATTTGATTTTCTCCCCCCCCACCCCCGCCACTTGCAAATTTGTAACATCATTAGCTACAAGTAAATATATCAGTGGGATTAATGGAGTGAATCACAGAGGGGCTTGACTGGATTTAAAACCACATTATCTCTTTGGAGTGAATTAGTAAATTTTAAGCACTGTCAAGTGATGATGGATTGAGAAGCCAGGGACTGAGCTCTTATTGATCCTGAGAAAAGATTGGTATGAGGAGGAGAAGCTGGGATGGCTTCCCGCACTCCGTTCTCAGCGAGGAAGGAAACATGGCTCCTATGCTCACTGAACTGCACACAGAAACGGAGCGTTCTGTTCGGGGCTCACGGCTGACTTGTGACCACATATGGGGGGCAGCGTCTCAGATGGTCTCCAGGGATCCCACGCCCTGGTATTCACGCCCTGAGTGCAGACTGGAACAGGTGGCTTGCTTTCGACCCCCAGGATGCAGCAGAAGAGGAACGACATGTCACTTCCAAGCCAAGGTTATCAACAGACCACGGCTCTTGTCTCGGGCTCTCTCTCTCACCCTCTCTTGGGTGGTTTGCTACAGGGAAGCCCTGGAGAGGGAGCCTGGTCGAGAGGCCCAGGGATATGAGACTGAAAGCGGATCCTCCAAGGCCTGCTGACAGCCTTGGCAGTGAACTTAGAAGTCGAATCTCCGCAGTTGAGCGTTGAGATGAGTGGACACCATGTCAACACCCTGACCACAAACTCATGAGGGACCCTGAATCGGAACCACCCAGCCAAGCTGCTCCTGGACTCCAGACCCACAGAAATAACCTGTGATATAATAAACAACACCCCAGTGTTGTTTTCAGTCACTAAGCGTGGGGTAATTTGTTGCACAGCAAGAGAAGACTGAGAGACCACATGACTTTTGCTTTGGCCACAGAAACGTGAGGAGAAGCTTCGAGAGCCGGTGTGCAACTTGCCACGGCCTGGTCTCCTGCCTTGGCAACTGCGCAAGCTGGGGTCAGATGAAGCTTCTGTGACCTGCGTCCTGGAGTGACTGTGAGGAGCCAAGCCCCACCCTCCCTAACACTGCCATCCTGCACTAGATACATAGCATGCCCAAGAAGGAAACTTTGGTTGGATAAAATCACTTAAGATTTGGGAACCGTGTGTGACCACGGTACAACCTAGCCTATGTTAACCAGCCCACTGGTGGATCAAAGTGTGCCTAGGGTCTGGGGGGCCCAGAGCCGTTGGAGAAATACACTTGCTCTTCCTGCTAGGAACCAAGAAGTGTTGCTTGAAGTGGTTCTGAGCTATGGTACGTTTCTTCATAGAGGCCTCCACAACACTGCCTTGTAGAAGGGGGTTTCAGATACTCTGTCTCATCGACCCCGTTTGTACATCTGCATTTCCAGAACACACTTAGAAAGTGGGGTTCTCATATAGGTTAATGGACTAACATTCAATGAGAAAATGCCAGGCACTCTACATCTATCCTCTCATTTAGTTCTTATAGTGGCCCCACGAAGCAGATAGAATTGTTACCCTTAATTTACAGATGAGGAAGATCCAGATTTGAGGAGTAAAATCAACCACAGGGATTATTCAGCCTCCGGGTGGACACTGGTGGAACACCACTGGATCCCAGGCCATCTGAGCCAACACTCATGCTCTTTCCTTTGATCTCTGGTGGGCTAGCAGCTTGAGGTCCACGCACCAAGGCTGCCCCTCAGTAGGAAGGTTTTAGAACCCAAAGGCTGAAGGGCTCCCTTATGATGGAGGACATGCTCGGGGGTGGCGGTGAGAAGTTGAGATATACTCCTTACTTGTGTCAATGAAGACTGCATCCACGTAGATTTTGGTACAGAAAGAGCCTAGGATAAATCCACAGGCTGGTCCAAATACCAGCATCGTGAAAAGGATTCCTGAAAGAAGAAGATAAAACAGAGATTACATTAAAAAAAAAAAAAAAAAGCAAAAGCCACTCAATGAGCAAAAGAGTCAAAGATCAAGGATATTATTTCACATCGATCAGATGAGAACCTGGTTTATACAAATGACATTAGAGGAACTAGTCAAAAAATCCTATAGGGGGAAAGCTAGTACTGAAGCACCATTATGCAGAAATTCTATAGTTTTTGGAGGTTGCTCTGAAATATCTGTAGGCCCTGAGTGCACTTCCTTTTAGAGTACTCCATCCCACACCATATCCACCATATTAAAACACACCCACGTCTGTCATTAAATGGTTTCTATCATAAACATTTTTGAAACTATTTTTATATTTTTGCTTTCACATTTATTTGGCTTTATGGAATTCATTTAATTTATGGTTGGCTAAGATTTCTCAGCACTCATTGTACAAATTCAGGAATTGTGAAGGGAGAAAAGTCAAAGCCACAAATTATTTTCAAATGTAATGAAATGTTTACGAGCATTAAATTTAGCAAAAAACGGAGTTGACATAATGGTATGCTTTGAAAACATTTAATTAGATGTTTTATTAATTTGAATTTTGCAGATCTCCCCTACCCCTGCTTTTTTTTGGAGTTGCTATCTATTGTTTTAATAGTTGTTCAAGACTCAACCTTTTCCTTAGGACTTGAGAAGATGGTACTAGGCATGAACTTAAGCATCTGATGGATATAATACCTGGGATTTTCCACAAACCCTTTTATTCATTTTGGGAAAGTACCAAGCCCAAACTAAAACCCACAGGCTATATCTATATAACTAAATTTCAGTTTGGTAGAATGTTCCCTGAGCAAGGACAGTTCTCAAGGCCCTGGGAATAAAAATAGGAAGTGGCCCTTCCTACAAGAGGCTGGCTACCTGTGGGGACAAGTGGTATATGAGTTGATCCAACCCAAACAGCCCAAAAGAGGGGTGCTAACAGGTCCATGAGGGCACATGAAGAGCAAGGCTGGAGATGAATTCAAACAAAGGGAATTTGAGCTCGGCAGAGGGTACTTCTGGTCTCTCTGCTCACAGGTGTAGACTAACTCATTCTGATTTCCCTCGATGATGTCGTCATGGAACCACTCAAATATTCATTCAGTCAATCAATATTTATTGAGCTCCTTCTTTGTGCCAAGCAGTAGTCTCAGGAATGGAGATTCAATATTGAGCCAAATAATTAAGAATCCTGGCCTTCCAGAGCTCATTGACTTGGAGGTCGGGAGAAAACACAAACTATAAACAGGAACTCAACTGGTTTATAAATACTTGGCAAAGGAGGCCACATCTTTCAGATTTACAGACAGAAACCCAGACCCAAAGCAATCATTGAGGGACAGTTTATAAGGAATGTTGTTCGATAAAGGAAGAAATGAAAAGAGGATGGTTTAGGGCGCCTGGGTGGCTCAGTTGGTTAAGCGACTGCCTTCGGCTCAGGTCATGATCCTGGAGTCCCGGGATCGAGTCCCGCATCGGGCTCCCTGCTCAGCAGGGGGTCTGCTTCTCCCTCTGACCCTCCCCCCCTCTCATGTGCTCTCTCTCTCTCTCTCAAATAGGTGAATAAAATCTTTAAAAAAAAAAAAAAGAAAAGAAAAGAGGATGGTTTATAACATGGAAATGGGGCCAACTCCACTCTCAGTGAAATCCTACTCTGTGATTTGGAGCAATGAGAAGTTCTAGAGTCTCAAAGTACCTGCTCCCATAGCTGGCCAGAGACCTCCAATCTCAGTTATTCTTGTTTCTAAGAATCTTGAGAAGAGCAATATCCATTTTATGAGTACATGGACTCCGTTTTGTCACAACTCAGATTAAGATAACCAAACAGAGGAAGTTGAGTAAGTTGGGGGTATTGGAAAATTCTAGAATATGGGGATCTTGCAGATATGGGCTAGAATTAGGGGGGCTGTCCTTAGCACGGTAGGGTTAGGAACCAGAGCTACGCTTGGCCCCATTCCCTGGGAGGAAAGTGAAGCAGAAAGAGATGCTGAGGAGGACCCCAGGGGGCAGGGGTGGGGGCATGGACAGGGGGTGTCCAAGGCAAGAGCACCACCCAACATAGCCTAAAGGGATTTCTGCTTCAGGGCAAAACTGTGAAGCCAGCCATGTCCTCCTGTCCAGGCTGCAGGCGGAGGTGAGCCCCTGGTCAACCACGGGTACTCTAAAGATGGCTGAGCAAGCAACGTATCTGCTCAGGCAGTCCCGGAGGAAGGGACACAGGGGACAGGAACACAATTCTCCTGCCACGGTTGCTGCAACTACCCTGCTGACTCCCTGTTGATATTCCAGCAGCCGCTCTATCCACCCCCCACCCCCGCCCGGAACCCACACCACTCATAATAATATGCCTTCTTTCATGCCAATTAGATAAAACCCCCAATCAACGTAATCATCACTGATGCATGGCCTACAGATTGCATAACGCAAATTATACCTAATACTTAATAGGTCAAAGGACTAAGCTTTTAGTGTCCTTGGAAGAAACAACTGATGGGCTGAAGAGGTTGTGGAGATTGTCCTGTTACTCCCTCCCCCACCTGGGGACAGCAGAGAGTGTGTGGATAGGCCCCTCAGCTGAAATCTCTGGTGGCATTTTATTTTTTTCTTTTATTTGAGAGAGGGGCAGAGGTAGAGAATCTCAAGCAGACTCACGGCTGAGCACAGAGCCTGACACTGGCCTCGATCTCATGACCCATGAGATCACGACCTGAGCTGAAACCAAGAGTCGGATGCTCAACCACCCGACCTACCCAGGAGCCCCTCTGGGGGCATTTTCCAAGCAGCTCCTCCTCAGAGAGATGTTAAAGAAACCTCTGGCAATAACGAGTTCTCGAATCTTTTCCAAGGAACAATCCAGTAGAGATGTGGGAGGGGGATCTTCACGCATCAAGAAACACCCTTTTTCCACCTCAGCAATATCTTAGGATAACACCTCAAATAAAGCAGCATGCAGAGCACAACCCTGGGTTTTTAGGGGAAGTTGTTTTCCTGCGAGGGTATGAGGCAGGCCACGATCTTACAGAAACGTACTTCCGAATGCACTTCCTTGCTCTCCTTTCGATTCATCCTCCTAGGCTGTGAATTTATTCTTGTTTAATGAAACCACCCCACATGTTCTGCCCAAACAGGAAAAAGAATGGCCAGCACTAAAATCTGCAATCCGGGTGCTGAACAGTGGAGTGCCTCCAGGACAGGAGAGGATGTGCTTTGTGGCTCAGTGCTGCCCCCTGCTGCCTGCCAGATTCACGAACATGGGAGGGGAGGGGCGAGGTGGCTGAGGAGAAGCTGAGACACAGGAAATAATACTAAAAATAAAATTAAAATATTTTTTCTTTTAATTCACGTGCATTATTTTATCAGACATTTATTACGTAGTTTAAACCTAACTGCTTGATAAACAAAACTGCTAGGTATTTCTTTTAGACTCAGGGCTCTGGGAAAATATAATTAAGATACTAAGGGCATGGGGAGCCTGCGTGGCTCAGTGGGTTGAGTGTCTGACTCTTGACTTCGGCTCAGGTCATGATCTCGGGGTCCTGGGATCAAGCCTCGCGTCTGGCTCCCTGCTCAGCTGGGAGCCTGCTTCTCCCTTTGCCTCTGCCCCTCCCCCCCCACTCATTCTCTGTCTCTCTTGATAATAATAAAATAATAAATTAAAAAAAAAAAGAAAGCAGCAGCAACTTGCTGCCCCACTGGAGAGACTTTCAACCATTCTTAGTCACTCAAAATACATACTGGCAACTACTAGGGGCCAGGCACTGTGCAAGCTGCTGAGACACAATAGTGAACAAAACAGACAAAATCCCTGCTTTTCTGTGGAGTTTGTGTTATGGAAGAAAGGCCATAAACAAACCAACCTAGCATGCTGTAGTCAGGAGTAGTACCAAAGAGGAGAGAACACAACGGCGCAGGGCTGCAAAGACCTTGCATGGCACTGAGTCCTCGATGGAACGCCCAGCACTGGGTCAGCTGGGCTACTGAGCTGGGGCCACTGTGTGGGAGGCAGACTAATGGCCCTCAAAGATGTACCTGTCCTAATCTCTAGAACCTGCCTCTGCTGGCTTAAATGACAAAAGAGAATTAAAGCTAATATGGAATTAAGGTGGCTGATCAGTTGCCTTAAAGAGATTATACTGATTATCCCCAAGGACCCAATCAACAAGATTCCTGTAAATGTGGAAGGAGAAAGAAGAGTCAGAGTCGGAGAAGGAGATAAGATGACTCGACCAGAGACATGGCCTCCTGAGAAGGAGGTGACCAGTGATTCCTGGCTTTGAAGATGGAGGATGAGGTCAGGAGCCCAGGAACGAGGACCACTTCCTGAAGCTGGAAAGGGCAAGAAAATGGATTCTCCTTTCCAGAGAGGATCCTCCAGAGGACGATAGCCCTGCTGACACCTTGATTTGAGCTCAGTGAAACCCACTGTGGGCTTCTGACCTCTAGAACTAGAAGATCATAAATTTGTGTTATTACAGGCCACTAAGTTTGTGGCAACTCATGATGGCAGCCATAGGAAATTAATGTAATTGCTAATCAAATTTGAGTCAATTCTCAGATCTCACAACCATGAATATCCATGTGACTAAGAACAGGACATTGCATGAAGTCGTTTGTTAATTACTTGACCACGGAGCATTTTTTGTGGGACATTTTTCACTGCTGGTGTTGACTGGGGCGTAGTCACAGAGAAGCTGGAGGAGAGTCCAAGCTCTATGAGACAGAGAAGGTGTTTTATTCTTCTTTCTATTCCTAGTTTGGTCCAGCATAACGAAAAGTTAGTTCACCGGCTATTGAAAGGGTGCAGGAAAGCAAACACTAGTTCAGCATTGCCATAAAAAGAGGGAGTGTCTGTGACCAAGCTCAGGCCCCTCAACCTGCTATTTTCCTGGACAGTGCTCTCTGCACCTGTCTCTCTCAGCACGGGGACCCCTCCCATTCAAGTGCCTCCTCCTAGATCCCATGAGCCACGGGG